TTAACTGTGTACCTTTGGGATGGCAACGCAATTCCTCACCCACCAGGCCACTACAGCTTCCTACAGTCCTCCTAACACCCTAAAAACAATGCCTTAATTTCACTAGTGCTAGGAGACCCACGGACAGAGACAAACTCATCTTCTCAGAATCCCCAGCTGGAAGGGTGTAGCTTTCCAACACTGCCGGTAACTCACTTATGTTAAGGAATAAATGTGTCTTTTATTATGATACCCATATACTTAACTGAAATGTGTATCACACAAAGCTACACTTACACTTACCATGTGGGCCTTTTTCTTTCCTTCTAGTTCTCCCAACCCAACCCAAAGTGTTGGCTAAAATCCATTAAGAGTCATTTCACATTCAGCTCCTGTTCTATTGTCTGCATTTTGAAAATCAATCCTATAATACAAACTTTTAAATATTAAATTAAGCACAAATATTTAGGAAAGTAATTCTAGATAACTCCTCTAAAAGGACAGAAATTAGGAAAAAAAATCATCTGCCATGTATCCAGTGTTCACATGCCAAAACATTACATGTTCTACTCTCATACGCCAAATCTCTCACTTAAATGTAGTGTTTGTAATTCCCTTTGCAGTAGAGAATAGCAGAGATCTCACTGCCGGCTGCTTCTTTTTGTTGTTGTTGTTGTGTACCGTCAAATCAGATCAGACTGGCAAAGGAGGAGATTGGCCTTCCTTCTCCACAAAGCATCTTGTGGATTCGAACCAGTGGTCTTTGGGACTGCAGAGCAGCTTCTTGCCACTAGGCCATCAGAACTTCCTTGCCAGCTTCTTCTATTTAATTCTATATTAGTATTCTATATTAGTATCTCCAACTGTATCTACTCGGAATTTCACCATCGCCTTTAAACAAGTAATAGTCAAGCATACTTGTTATCTGCATACTCTTACCAAAACATGTGGTCAGTGACCCACCTTCCTGAATTACTAATGATTAAAAATTTAATAAAAAAGAATATTCCAAAGGTGTGAAAAAAAAAGCATTTCTCTTTCAAGATAAATTCAGCCAGCAGCCTTCTCCTTAGAAACTAAACTATAATATTGGGATTCAAGGGAAACAAACAAGCGATTATCAAAACAAAATTCTTATAAAAATGGAAAATAAAATAACCCCCTTCAAGTATTAACAAGTCCAGCGAAGGCCACACCACCGCTGCCCACATGATTAGTCCCTCTCTGGTGTTTAATGCACTCCAACAATGCTGCTACTTGGCTTCTGATCTTCCAAAAATACGAAAGACATGTCTCTTTTATTTTGCGATCAAAAAGAGCTTTATTTAGTATTTAATCTTCATACAATTCAGTACAACAAATTATAAAAGCTCTTTGTAAGATTTCACCCACAGGCTGTTAAAAACAGAAAACAGACTGCAAGAAAGTAAGCCACTCTCTCAACAGAAAAGCTCTTCCCCACAGACAGACAAGCACGCTCCGGGCTGGGAGCTTTCCTGTATAAAAGCCTCAGGGAGAACAGCAGAGAAGTCAAGTCAGCTGAGGACACTTTGATATTTTCTGATGCTACTGCTCTACTTGATGGGACGCCACAGCATCAATTCCAAGGTTTTAATTTTAAGAATAGAATGTGTCTAACTAAATAAAGCTGCAGACCAGAGGAAGCATCTACATTTGCCCTTGTGGCGGCATCTACCCCAACACAAACACATACACTCCAAAAAAAATTCAGTTGATCTCATAAAAGCCAGGAAAATAATTAAAAAAATATGGAATGCTTCATGAAATTGTGTGTCATCTATGCACAGGGGCCACACTAATCTTCTCTGTATCATTTCAGCTTGAGTGCTGCCGAAGCAACACAGAAATCCCCTCTAAGTGGATAATTAAGGGCCTAGCTATTACCTTGTTATGTTCCTGGTGAGTATATGGGATGAATCCCTGATTTTTCTTATTAAAAGCTTATAAGAAAAGTGACTAGGATCTTTCCAACTACAGAAGAATTTATATCAGCCATTCTTATCCGTTATCAGCAGTTCCTTACAAATGAAGTAAATAGATTAAAACAAGGAATTAGAACTTAAAACGTATACATTAATTTACAAATATACTGATGTAAAGAAAGTCTTACTTTGGAAGTCAATAGATTAAAATAAGGAATTAGAACTTAAAACATATACACATTCATTTACAAATATATTGATGTAAAGAAAGTCTTTTACTTTGAACAAGGGTCTTCTTTCTTGTAGACATCATGCCAATAAGGTGATTTGGGTACAATATTGTCAGTTTAGATTTTAAAAGTGACATGAGTGTTTAAATATACTCATTAAACCAACCAACTTCAGAACTTGTCTCGATTTTCCTTTCTTTAGCATTTTATAATTTCCCTAATCATACTAGTTTAAAACAATTAGCAAATAAATCACTCTTAAGTCTTACCAAAGCACTCAACTTAATTGTCTCTGGAATAACTCTTTTCCTTTTTTACAACTATATTCAATTACATGCTTGGAATTCAATTACATGCTTAGAGTAAGTACAGTTTGCAGTGGGAAGTTTGATATTGGCATGGGCATACAAGTCAGGTGAGGGAGCAAGAGCTTGTGAGAATGGGGTGGCCGGCCATCTGTGCTGGGCAGCAGACAGTTTGTAACACAATGGAGGCTGTCGGGTGATCTAGTGAGTCCCACACATAGAGATCAGTTAAGGGCACTTCTATGTAAATATATCTTTAAATAAAGATTCTTCTGACTGCCAAATCGGAAGCAAAAGCAAGTGGTTTTGCTATCTACAAAAAAGAGTCATAATTTGAAATTACCACCAGATACTAAAACAATCTCCAAGGTCCGTGTTGGATAGAATGGAAGCCAAATGCCTTCTGCTTCAGCTCTGCTGAGGGGCGGGAAACCAGAGCCAGCCTCAGACGGCGTTCTTCTGTTTCTGCCTGCACATGCCGATGGGAAGGTCATAAAAGAGAATATTAACGAGCACTAAAAATGTCTGAGATGATTCACTGAGAGATTTGGTCAGGAAATTTAAAAACTCTACTGTACAAGGTCACAGTGTCTTGGAAAGAGTTCAGGAATTTTGTCTTGAAAGATCTTTTGGCACTTTTTATTTTTCACTAACAACTAAATGCTAAATATTTTGGAAACAATGGAAGCCAAACTATGGAAAATGAAAAAAAAATCAAGGTATGACTATAACTTTTAAAAAACCCCCACTGTATGCCATCAGTGTGGTAAAAATTAACATAAAATTAAGAACGTTTATTTTCTCGAGTATTAAGATCCCAAACACCCAAAATGCTTAGATTAAAACATGTAGAAATATTCCAATCAAACATAAATATATTTGAAAAGGTTACTGATAATTTTAAAATGAAACCACAAAGTCTGACATACTGTACCTTACATGTGCTTGGTTTCAATTCGAGTAAGGCACTGGCCGAAGGGCCTGCTGACCCATGCTGTCAGCTCTAACAGGCATGCACCATTACTGGCTTAATTACATTTTAACACTGATTAAAATGCTTTATTACTGTATTATCCTAAACTGCAGTGGCCTACAACCTTATTAAGGAATACAAGAAAGATATAATTCAGGAGTTTCAGTTGCATAATTTAATAATGAAACTCCTACCAGTTTTTTACTTAAATATGTTTTGATAAAAGCCAAATAGCCTTGTGTCCAAAAGGATAGCATAGAAAAACTTCTGAATGCTGTTTAAGAAGTAGTAACTAAGTAGAAAATTATTTTAACAGGTTAGATATCCATCTTGATGCATAACTTAACTTACTTCAATACAACTGTAAGGAGAAGCATTTAAATAATTTCCAACTGGCGAGAACAGGGGAGAAAGTTAATTTCATTAGCTATCTTGATTTCACTGAATGCACAATAAGCTTTTATCAGCAACTTTTACATGTCCCAGTCATTAGAAACTAATTATAAAAGCAATTATCAAAAGTTGTTTTTTTTTCCAGCAAGTCTCCATAATCCTCTTCATTGTTTGTAAGTAGGCATGACTTAGAGGCACTTTTTAGTAAGGAAAGAGTAACACAGGACCTCACATAACATTGGAGACATGAATCAAACGGTATGAAAATGCCATCTGCTAAAAACACTATACTAGCTGGATTAGTTAAGACACATGTTTTAAAAAGATTCAGACTTTGCAACATCTAGTCTGTAAAAAATATAAAGGCTAAAAACACAAAAAGTTTACAAAACTTTGCAAACCTTGTCAATTTAAATGAGTAAGAAACAAAGCAAAATTACTTGAAGGAGAGATTAGATAGTATCAAGCAGTTTAAAAATAAAAACATGAAGCAGTAACAAATATTACTTGGCTACCTACATTTTTGCTCCTTTAAGGACTTATAATATGGAGCTTTTAATACTTTTCTGTGCCCAGTATTAAAACACACACATACACTCACACACACCCATCTAACACACACTACAGAAATGCTATGTACCACGATTGAGACAGAATTCACCAAAGAGTTTCAGATACATACAAAGACCTAACATGATTTTTCCCAATGTTAAAAAGCAATAAAATGGAAGAAAAATTATATAAAAATTTAAGGTAAAACACAATAGTGAAGAGCTTTAGAAAGTCACTGATTGGAAATGATTTCATTATGCATCCCTTCAATTCAATTCAACTACTGCAATCTTAAAGACAACTGAAGGGTAAATACATTTCAAATCCCGAACAGAAGCTCAACCTCCAGCATGGGATGTGGCTGTTTCGGAAGTTCTAGACCACTCAGAAAATGTGAGCACTTACGGGAAAGAACACGAATGGAAAAGACAGAGACATGATGAAAAAGACGAGAATTGGCATAAGCTACTTTCATAAAAGTTAACACTTGTGTAAACATCTGTAGAAGTTACTCATATCACAGCTTTAAGGTGCAGGCTACCTAATTAGATAGGAAACTATCAACTGAGCTTCATTATGGTGGAGTTTCTCTGTATCAAAAATAGAGATTGAACATGTGACTTTGTTACTTGTTTCTGGCTAGCTTGTAAACATGGAATGTCTTGTTCTGAAACACTCTAGTGAAGTGGGCCATGTAAGCAGGGAGGTTTCGCTTTATCTCTTCACAGAACCGAGGGTGACCTGCAGGTTTCAAATCTGGTTCATTCTCTCCTGGGCCATCCATCACCTAAAATCCAAACAAATCCAAATGTGGCTTTGGGGGGGGAGGGGCAAAAAAAAACACACACACCCACCAAAAAACCCCACAACAGCAGGGAGGCTAGGTATCTGGTTTCTTCAGGAATTAGAACACACTCATGTTATACTAACATAGTCATTGGCTACCTGGAGACCATTTCACTCATCCCTACTACCTTTCAGAAGCACAAATCAAGATTAAGATGGAAAAGTCAGTGTCACACCATCGTCACTACTGATGACAAGGGTAGAACTAGAAATCAGGTCTCTCTGATCTTAGGCATGTACTATATTGTCCTGCTGATGATAATGAAATAAAGGAAGATTTACTGTGACCACAGAAAGTTCCTTAATGGATTAGATGGTCTAATTAGGAACAGTATATACAAAGCAAAATGTAAGTGCACATACCTCCTACAAACACAAAAGATGGGCTATCATTTTCTGTAGGCAAAACCTGGGAGAATCCCTTCATGTGAGAGGCTGGCCATGCTTACATGTCCGTTGGCGATGTCCAGCAGGTCTCGCAGGCGGCAGCCCCGACGATGCCTTCGTTCGTAGCAGATGCTGTCTTCCAGGATGACGTAATCTGTGCCAAAAGACCTAAGGAGGGCGTGCACTTCCTCAGGAGACCTCTTCGCATATATCTGATAAACCTGAAAAAATAAGATAAAAATAGAAGGCAGCAAAATATCACTCTGCTGCCAATGAGTAAGGTGATGTGGCCTCTCAGAGGAGGTGGACCTGTGTGGCACTGTCCCTTGTCCTCTGCCTTCCCGGGCCAGCCATCTGTAGTTCTGGAGTGCATGAGCGCAATGTCCAAAAGAACCATGTAATCACTGACTCGGGGAGAGGAAAAGTATGTCATGCTTTATATATTATTTAGATTTCGATACCAAATACAGTTTTATTAAGAATGTATTATTTTGAGTTATAACTGCATTGGTCAGTAGATGCTAATTCTAAGAGCGTTTCTCTTACTTGCCAAAGTAAGTAATGCAGTTGAGTAAATACACAGCCTCCAGCTTTGAAAGAGGACCTATGGACTGAAAGAGCCCATTAGGATGATGGCTAACTTTTAGGGAAACATGTAAAGAGGGGTCCCAGGTTCTGATGCTGGGAGCGGGGGGATAAGGCCTGGCTGGGGTTCCCAGCCATAAGCCGGAAGATCGCTGCTATGCCATGTAACGCTGTGCTGTGCCTCTCCTCTCTTCTGGAGAAGAGAAGAGTAACTTGCAGCAGCCAGGTTGAGAGGAAGTGCCACTTTCATATTCATCACATTCAATAACCTCAAGTCTTTGAGCACCCTTTATTCTAGGAACTATTGGAATTGGGGAAGCTGGGAGAAGAGAAGGAATCATGAGATGTGCTATTTCCTTGGCACAATGCTTTCTAATGACAGGTTCCTCACTGAAGAAACTGAGTACTATGAAGGTCTAATTCAGAGTGTCCACGTGGATGAATGAGAAGGCGGGGAGTCATGCTGCTCTACTGTAAAACCCACCGGAACAACATCCAGTCCAACGCCAGTGCTCAGACTAAAGGCAGCCCAGACATTAAAGGTCACTGTTAAAGAAGATCATCCAAAAACGACATCCACACAGAACTACCAGAAGTACAGGCCGTGGCACTAGGGACATCATGGCCAATGTGAGAGGGATCTTGGCTGACAGCAGCTTTATCTGTGTTTCACTGAATATGCAAAAGCATTTGACTGTGTGGATCACAACAAATTGTGGCGAACCTTGAAAAGAATGGGAATCCAGAACACTTGATTGTGCTCATGAGAAACCTATACTTGAACCAGGAAGCAGTCATGAGAGCAGAGCAAGGAAATACTGCATGGTACAAAATCAAGAAAGGAGTGCCTCTCTCTCTATATATAGGAGGCCAGAAGAATGCAGCATCAGAATTAGAGAAAGATTGAACAATTTGCATTATGCAGATGGTATAGACACTGAAACTGAGGAGGACCTGAACCGTCTTTGGCAGAAAGTAAAGGACTATTATAGTCTTCAGTATGGACTGAAGCTCAACATCAAGAAAACAAAGATTCTCACCACTGGGCTAATTGGTAGCACCATGATAGATGGAGAAGAGATTGAGAGTGTCAACAATTTCAGCTTGCGTGGGTCCACAATCAATATTCTTGGAACCAGCAGCCAGGAAATCAAAAGACGAATTGGATTAGGAAAGTCAGCTGTCAGGGACCTTTCTAGAGTGCTTAAGTGGCAAAGATGTCAATCTAGAGATTGATGTACACTTGATCCAGGCCATGTCACAATCACTTGTTATTCATCAGAAAGCTGGACAATGACTAAAGATGCCAGAAGAATTGATGCCTTTGAATTGTGTTGCTAGAGAAGGGTACTGAACATACCATGGACTGCCAAGAGAATAAACAGCTCTGTCTTGGAGAGGATGAAACCAGTTAGCTCTCTGGAGGCAAGAATTTTGAACCTCTACCTCATATACTTTGGGCACATTGTCAAGAGGGACCAATCCTTGGAGAAAGACATCATGCTTGGAAGGGGAGAGGACCAGTGCAGGAGAGGAAGACTCTAGATGAGATGGATTGACGCAAGTGTCTGAGGTCACAGGAGTAGGTGCTTTGGAGACAGTGAGATTGGCTCAGGATAGGACAGAGTTCAGAGTTATTAGGCCTAGGGTCGCTATGAGTCACAGGTGACTTGATGGCAAATAACAACAACTAAAGAACCTTAGGAAATTATGGATATCAGTAGCAATTTTATGTTTAAAAATTTGAGATGTACTTTTATACACTGAATGATACAGAGGTATCAAAAAAAGATAGAAGGAATATACAGAGTCACTGCACTAAAAGACTTTGCTGGCAATGAAACTTTTCAGGAAGTAGCATATTATTAAGACCCAAGGATAACAAAGGAGGAAGTTCAATCTGCTCTGAAGGAATTGGCAAAAAATAAGGCCCCGGGAATTGATGGAATACCAACAGAGATATTTCAACAAATAGATTCTGCCCTGGAAATGCTTACCAGGTTGTACCAAGAAACCTGGAGGAGAGATAACTGACTGGAAGAGAGCAATATTTATTCCCATTTCCAAAAAAAGCAATCCTACAGAATGTGTAAATTGACCAGCAATATAAGTAAAATCTTGATTATAAGCAAAATTAAGCAAAATCTTCATTACAAAAAAGAACTTGGACACCAACAGAGAAATTCCAGAAATATTAAGCTGGATTTAGAAGAGGCTGTGGCACTAGGGACATCATTGCTAATGTGAGTGGATCTCTATTCTACATATAGATTGAGAATATATGGAGAAAGGATACATCCCTGATGCACCCCTTTTTAAAATTTTGAACCATGCAGTGTTTCCTTGTTCCTTTGCATAGTCATTTGACTCTGTGGATCACAACAACTTGAGAAGAATGAGGATCCCAGAACACCTGACTGTGCTCATGTGAAACATATACTTGGACCAGAAAGCAGTTACAAGAGCAGAGCAGGGAAACACTGCATGATTCAAAATCAAGAAATGGGTGCATCAGGATGTATCCTTTCTATATATTTTCTCAATCTATATGTGGAACAACATCAGCTACAATATCCCTAGTACCATGACCCCTTCTAAACCCAGCCTGGACTTCTGGTAGTTCTCTGTTGATGTGCTGTTCCAGTCGTTTTTGGATAATCTT